GAACAAATGGATACATTAACAAATCTTCTAATTATATTAAAAATACGTTGATTTTTGAATGAACAATTAAAACAAAGTCATAATTTAAGTGTGCAACGGATGTTTAACAATATGTTCAAGTAGTGAAATAAAAGAAAAGATTGACAAACTCTGGTTTACACAGTTTAAACTTTAAATTTTTTAATAGTTTCGAATTTGTCTCAAACTCGAATTACGTAAATATTAAACATGTTTTAGTGAAGCTAGTGACAATTTGCAATAGATAATTTATAGATAAAGACTATAGTTTGTCAACATTTTAAAAGTATTTACTTCATATACATTTCATGTATATTTCTTAAGAAAATATGTATGTTTCAAAATAAAATTGCGTCTACACATTAACAAATCTTCTATTTATCATAACAATTCTTAACTATAAGCAAATGTAGTTTTGGGATATTTATTTATATTTGCAAAATGTTGATTTTTAGCACATATTGAATAATATTCAAACTGTATGTATTTAAATTGTGTATGTATGTGCATTAACACTATTTATCAAATGATTTGTACAGTATCTAAATAGGATGCGAATAAACTGCTTCTAAATACTGTTTACAAACAAATTAAAGTTGTTGGTGTAGTAGATTGAGGCGTAAAAATGCGTATTGATAAAGAGCTTATCGAGCAACGTGGGTGAGATTACATTGGGAGGGAGAACCAAAAATAACAACAAATTATGTAGTTGTAGAACGGATTTGCTCATTGCGGACGAGGAGAGTCGTCGAGTATAAATCTAATTTAAGAGCTGTACAGAGCCCACCAATTCCGCCTCCTCTTGCCAAGTGGACCGAGGTGCTGCGAGGTCAACAGTTACGTTTTTAGAAGAGAAGACGAAGACGGTTTCCTTCTTGTTTTGAATTTCGTCCGGAAACGCGACTTTGCGTGCGTCGATGCCGGCTGATTCGTCCACGTGAGAGACCAGTACGCATCTAGAAGGCTTGTTTATTTTGGTTACTGCGTCGCAATTGAATAGATCACATCAAAAAAAATATATAAAGAAACATTATCAACTTCAAATTATCATGGATAGTTTAAAGGATCTCGACTTGACTAGAGACGAGGTGGATCGTTTAACATCCGCACTGAAGGATAAAGAGTTTAGGAAACTCTTCGCTGAATATGTGGATGAACTGCACGATCCAGAGAACAAGAGAATATTCCAGAAAGAGGTAGTCGAATTGGAAAAGGAAAGAGGCATGGATTGTACGTTCTTGAACCCGGAGCCGGGATACGTGATCAAGACGAGTGTCGACGGTTCAAAAAAGGCGTTCATCAATGTTTGCTCGAATGAGAACATCGAGAAACCGACATCGACACCGAGCTATGAAGGAGGAACAAAAGGTCTCAGCTGGGCCATCCCTCATTCCTTGACACCACCCAGGGACGACATCGATAACAAGCGGGTGAGATGTCGAGTCTTTGACGTTATATTCCATCCAGACACCTTCCGGATAGCCAAGAACAATAAGGCTTTCTGGACTATGGTGAATAACACAGCCTGTGATTCAGTCGAAAGCAATTTTGGGGTGGCACTTGACAGGAAGAATCTGAAATTCCCCAAGCTGCAGTACAAAGGTGCTGCCTCTTCATCAGTAATCAGAAAACCATCCGAACACAAACCATCCGAGAAGTCTCCTGAAGAGCAGGAGGTGCTTGATAAAATATTCAACCAGATACCCAAGCAGGAGCCTCATAAAAAGCCTCCTTGTAAACCTAAAACTGAAACAAACAAAACCAAGTATACAACTCCAAAATACATAATCAAGCACAGGAGCCACATAGATCTTGAGAACTATACATTTGAAAGAGACTCCAAGATGAACATGGCAACACCCAAGGAGCTTATTGTGGAAATCAATTTGCCCATGCTGAAAGCAGCAACGGACATGGATCTTGATGTAGCAGAAAAATCAGTACAATTAGTAAGTGAAAAACCAGCAAAGTACAAACTCTCAATTACCCTCCCTTACAAGGTCAATCATGATAATGGCAATGCCAAATTTGATAAAGATTCCAAAATTTTAACCATCATTTTACCTGTTATACAAACAACAAACAAACTCGATTTTACAATTGAAGACAGTTGCGTGGAGAGCGATAAAGTTTACTCGCTTCCATCCAGTCCACCCAACGAAAATTCTCGCAAAATTGAAGAATTACCCAACGTCTTTTTGAATCCTCAAATCCACTATAGTTTACCCGAATTCACCTGCCATCAGTTGGAAAATAAGCTATACTTCACTTTGCACGTGAAGAACGTTAACGAGAACTCGATAGAGAAGATCTGCAATCCTTGCGATGTGCATTTAAAATTAACTTCAATAAGTTCCGGGTATTATCCTGTCCATTACGCGTTCTACGTTAAACTCCAGTCTACTTTGGATACCGAAGAAGTGATCGTCGAAGTGTGGGATAACAATGTCGTCCTGCAGTTGTGCCTCGACGATGCGATGAACGTGTCTACGTATTTGGTGGGTTTGGATAAATCCGATTTGTACATGAAGAACGTCGATAAACAGATCGAACCTTTGATGGAAGAAGATGATTTGGATACAACTCTTACAGAGAATACAATGGAGGAAGTTGAAAGCAAAATTGAAGATTTAACTGTTAAAGAGACAACGCAAAAAGCCAATAAAGTTGTTGATGTTGTTCCTTTGAGAGAAGAACCTAGTAAAGCTATTGATATAGTTCGATTGCATGGCGAATCAAGCGGGGATGATACGAGCTGCAGCAGTTACAGCCCGAAGTCCAAGGGTATTTTGAAGAGGCGAACGTCATCCTATAGAAGTTCTGTTAGTCGAAGCATATCCGAATCTAGTATAGACGATGCAATTTGGGCGTCATCTTACGAGAATTGCTACAATAGTATGGAATCGGTGATTGCTGAAGATACGGATGTTTCGAGCAGTTTGAAGAAGACTGTTACGTTCAACGATCACGTCAAAAGGCAATTGTATAGGTAAGGATTTTTTTTTGTAAATTTTATTGCTGCTAATATTAATTGCTTTTTCTTCCTTTGCTTTAGATGAGTTTGTAATTAATATGAACTTAATTGTGTTTTGTTTTAATAAAAAGGAGCAACTCCAGCATCTTGGGGCAGAAGAGGAAGAACCAGAAGAAAGCGAAGAGCAAAAAGAGGGCTCAGGAGAGGAGACACAGCGAAAGCGAGGTCGTGGGTGAATCGAATACCATTTGCGAGGAGGATCCTAGCAAAAGGGACGATGCTCATATATTCGAATGTGATTTGTGATTGCCTTGAAAAGAAGGCGGTCGTCGTTATTTTTTAAGGTACAAAAATTGATTTTTGGGGTTTAATTAGTTCTCATTTTAGTAATTATTCTTTACATTGATCTACTTATTGAATAGCGCTTGTGATAATTTGAAACCGGTGATTTTACAATTTTACGCACTCCCAAAAATGATTGTTAACGTAGCAAAACAATATTAAATATATTAATTGATTAATTATCTACTTCGACGAGTTGTTCTTTCGGCGTCGGCGTGTACCAGTTGGAAGCTATGTGATGTTTCAGGTAGTCCCCACCTAATTCCTCGTAATCCCTTTTTGTTATTGAGAAGTTTTTGCATATCTCTGTGTTCGAGAATGCTTTGGCTCCATGCCATGGCGCTAAAGAGGCGTTAGGCATGATGGTGACATTGGTGATGGAATGAAAAGGACGGATAGAGATCAGATCCGTTAGAATTCTCTTCTTTAAACCGGGTAATTGGGATAAAGTCCCGGTTATTATCACATTTCCTGCCAATTTCAGTTGGTCTTCCGGTGAGAACAGCTTCAACACGTATCCTATTACTTCTGATAAACCAGCTTCCCCTGAACCAATCATGTAGGGTTTAAAGAGAAGTTCCGGCGCTCTGTACATCTCTATACCGATATGAAGTTGATACGCCTCAGCGGGAGCTAAACTGTCCGCATCATCTGTCGGATCGTACGTTTTGATCACCTCTTCCAACTCCAATAGCTTTTCGTTCTCCGCTTCACTATCGCTGTCTCCTCCTAGAAGCCCACAAAACTTAACTACTTCCCTACAAACAACTCATAACAATCCTTACCATCACGACTTATGGTCTTGTATATGTCCCAATCCTCATCACGCATACCAAAGTCATCATTTCCTTTCTCCTTCCTAGCCAACTGAGATATAATCCGCATCCTCTCCTGTCCAGCTGCGGTTCGTCTTTTAGCCATATCTTGCTTCTTCTGTTTCCTACTTAACTTTTTAGACAAGATATCTTGTCTCTAAAAAAAAACATTATTAATCCATAAATCATATGAAAATATTTTGAGTATAAACACTCACCAATTTCTTAGCGTTTTGCACATACGAATGCATAGCTTTTTCATTCTCAAATACGATTTTATTCAATTTCTGTTGCTTGTTCGGTGGTTCTTCGGGTAATTCCTCTGCGCTGTTTGCAGCCAATATCTTCTGCTTAGTCTTCTTAATTCTCATCTTCAACAAGTTGATGCTCTTCTCCAATTCATCAGATGATTCGAAGCCGTTTTCACCCAAAGCATATTCGAATTCCTCGGCGTCGTTGTGCACCTCCCAAAGTTCGTATATTTCCTGAAGCTTCACCAACTTTTCCTCATCTTCAGCCAATCTTTCGCCTCGTCTCCTCGCATTTATCTCTGTCAATCTCCTTGCCAATTCCTTTTTCCTCTCCTTCTGTTGTTCAGCTAAAATAAAAAAAAAGTCATAAATACATCACGTTTAACTTAAGTCAATATTGTATTATACATACCTGTAAGAGTTGATGAAGTTGAAGCCACGCTGTATGGAAGTTGAATTTTTTTGATATTCTTCTCATAATAATCCACGTCGTTCCACCTCTTCAATTCCTCCCTGTAATCCGTCGCAATCGAGCAAATACTGTGCAACAGTTCCTCAGCTCTGCTCAAAGTAATAGCGTTTGTATGTGCTGGATATTTCAGCTGAAGAATCCTGTGCAAAAAGGATATCACATGGAAACCACCAGTGTTAATCCTCCTGGTATTCTCAAAATTGGTTTCATTATCAATGATTGGAATTACATGTATTGTGTGATACCCCATGCTGATAATCAGAGCATCATTGCTTGGTTCACTTTGAGAAAAATTATATGCAAACAAAGAGTCAATTCCATAACAGATACTTGGCACATTGTAGCATTCAAACAGCAACTCAGACATCACTGCAATAAATACAATATATATATAAAAATGAATCAAAGTGGATTAAGTATAATTACATTGTCGGGAAGAATTTGGATTCAAGTAAGGTTCAGTCATGACAATCGGATGTGGAATACATTTGTCTGTGTCAATACCCAAATGGCTGAAGGTGTAATCAAATAAATGCTCCTGTGCTTCAAAATGTGTGACTACATTTCTATCGAACTGTGTTTTCAGTTGAAACCTAACAGCTTCAATATTAATAATATCATTTCCAACTTGCAGAGGTGGAGCTTGTATTACTTCATTTGTATCCTTCTTGGACCTCTCTTTTCTTGGTTTGGCTATTAGGTTTTTGAATATTAACAGGGGTTCTTCACTGGTGCTCCAACCAGCTCTACAATAGTAGGAACCTAAAATTTGTAGTTAGTATTTATGATGAAAGCTTGTATATAAGGCTTACCATTATCAATAACTATTGGTATTGAATTTAAATCGTCTGTGTAAGTATGGACAACGTCAGGAACGCATTTTACATCCTGGAATTCTATCACATCCATTTCGTCAAAACACTATTCCTCACGAAAATAAACACAGGAACATAAACAGAGCACATGTTGGTTATGCAACTAACTTTACAAGCGTGCTTACATAAAGCTAACTTTGATATTAGGTTTTGTTTTAGTGAATGAGCATTATGTAATAATGAATAAATTTATTTATCAAACATTTATAAAGCAAGGTACTTTTCTTTACTTAACATGCTTTCTTTGAAAGTTGAATACAAACTGAGAACAGGTAATAAAAGTGCAATGTATCCCTCATTCACTGGTTTCTCAACTAACAAATTGGGATTTTCTATTAATTTCTCATTGATTTCAATCAATTTTCCCTTAATGCAACTGTATACTGGATACGATTCTGTTTCAGTTTCCACGTAGCAAATGATCGAGTCAGGTGCGAGTTTTTGTGCACCCTTTTTCCCTTTCCCTGATGCCGAATTTTTCAGCCTATCGATTTTATCGTCGATCTCAAAGTTAATCCTCTTGATGGGTTTCTTCTCCTTCATGATTGGATGGTTTTCAGCTAAAGACAGCATGCATATCCTGTTTGTGTGGAAACTGACCCTCTGATCAGTGATCTCTTTCCCCTCGATTTCTTTGCAATATAAATGTTCGAAATAACGATCACTGACGTCCGCTAAATCACTTAAACAGCTAGTATCTATTGAATCTATGATTTTCGTTTCCATTATGATGAAGTTGATCGTTGATTCTCCGCTAATTCACGTAGTTTTCTTTGAGTCTCTTTAGCTTTGTCTGAATTACGTTTCCTGCGTGCTAATCTCTCCTCTTTCAGGCACCTGATCATTTGATAATCCACGGAGTTGCAGGCGCCGAAGAATTTTATGAAAGGATTCTGAAAGTACATGCTTGATAGATTAATAATGCTTTTACTTGTTTACTTACGTCGGCATGGCATTTATTTAATAAGTTTATTAATTCGTTACATTTCTCGCTATGCAAGTGGGGAGAGAGATCTGTGTGCATTATTATTGCTTTAAATACCTTGTTGCTGCACTATTTCTATACTGAGGTTATGTTTTGATATATTTGACTGAAGATGCAAATACAATTGAGTGAACACACATAGTTGCATCTGCCATCTATTGGTTTATACATGAAGATTATGAAAATTAGAATTTAATAATATTTGCATACTTTTATATAGAAATCTTTCCATATTACTATTTGTCTTGATGTTACATCAATACAATAATATAGTAATATTACTGACAAAGATTTTTCTGAATTGTCTTCACTTTTTAATTAATTACTCAATAACGACAGACATCAATTAGATCATCGAAGATGTTAATTAAAGACTAAAGTATTGTCTTTATAATAAAAGTGTTACCAGATTTCTGATCTTTACCGTTTTCCTGTACTATTTATTTTTTGAAAACCCATTGGACATAGGGTTGCATACATCAAATTATTGATTGTTTCTTATGATATTTTTGTGAAAATATTTATTAAACGTAACTGATGAACTTGTAAATTGTAAAGATTTTAAAATCACTTTTTGTAATATTGCTCATCTTTGTTAAAAAATATTGATAATTAAGATATAGTAATGTTTCTTCAACTTTTTAGTAATTTCTCAATAACACACACTGATAAGATCAATTTATATTCAAATAAAGACAATTCAAATAAACTATTACCAAATTTCTGATCTTTATCGCATACAGCAGTTATTATTTTGAAAACCCCATTTTATGTACATTTTTGGTTGCATACATTTTATTGATTGTTTCTTAGAAAATTTTGGTGAAGTCATTGTTTGAACTTAACTAATAAACTTGAAAACAGTAAAGATTTTAAAATTATATAAGAAAGGTTTTTTATTTTGCTTATTTTAGTTATAAAAAATAACGTAATATTAACAATGAAGATATGGTATTTTTTCTGAAGTGTATTTTTAATTAATTAGTTAATCATTACAAAGAAGAATTACATTTTCAAATATAATACTTATAAACAAAGTAATCGCCTTTCCATTAAACCTATTTACAGATAGTTAGTCTTTACCGTTTGCCTATATTATTTTATAAAAAAAAGTTATTGAACATGTTTTATAGAAAATTTTAGTGAAAACTTTTTTAAACTTAACTAATAAACCATTTACAATAAGGCCACTACCAGATTAATTGTTTACCACTCTTCTGTATTTTTAACAGAAAATGAATTTTTTCTTATGTCGTATAATTTTATTCAGAATCTGTTCATCAATGTTAACATTGAGTAAATTTAAGATCGCGGTCGACATTAGATGGATAATCTAATTAATAATTTCTTAAATCTATATACTAAATCTAGTGGTTTGCAACGCTTCAGCCTGTTTGTGGATTCACTGTTGTCGAGTAGGCCAATAGCTAGAACATTAGTATGTGACTCCAGTCTATCTTGGTATCTACTACTAAAAAATCTTCGTGTATTTGTTTATTTTTGACGAACCATGGAAGCCTAATAATATTTCTTAGACATTTTGATTGGAACCTTTGTATAATTTGTATGTTCGATTTACTGGCCACATGCCCACAATTGGATACCATACGTCCATACTGGTTTCAGTATTACTTTGTATATAAGTAATTTATTTACTGATAATTCTGACCTTTTTACTAGAAGCCAATAGTTTTCTAAACTTTATTTCTAATTGCTCCCTCTTAGCCTGAATGTGATCTTTTCTGGTGAGTCTTCTGTCTAGATGCATGCCTAGATATTTTGTTGCTTTGGGCAGATCTTGTCCATTAAGTAGTCCATTCTTGTAGCTTATCTAAATTCTCCTGTAGATATTCGGATGCTACTGATGGATTCTCATCTGATGCCAAGATTGCTGTGTCATCAGCGAATGTTGCAATCGTAGTATTGTTAGTTTTAGGAATATCTGCCGTGTATAGAAGGTAAAGCAGTGGTCCTAAAACACACCCCTTAAAAAAAAATAACTCTATCTATGTATGTATCTACTCTAAATAAATATTTTTAAACTTCAAACTTCCTAAAACACTTCCCTGTGGCAGCCCTGATTCTATTGGATATAAATTGGTGTATTCGTCTTCTATTTTTACCTGAAACATTCTATTTTCGAGGTATGATTTTATTATTTTAAAATAATTATATGGTAAGTTCTTTTTATTTTGTATAGTAGTCAAACTTTGTTAAAAGCTTGCGATAAAAAGGCAACCGAGCAGTATCTTTTACTTTTTAGGTCTTGGTAGATGGTATTTACCATTCTGTTTACTTACACTATTGTGCCATATTTTCAACGAAAGCCAAAAATGCATTATTTAAAATTTAAATGATATTTGATGAAAAAATAGGTCAAAAATCATGCAGTAAAAACCTTTTTTTTTACCAGATATTGTACTTTATCAATTAAATTTGTTTAATTTAAATAAAAATGATTACTCAATTACCAATAATATTGGTTTAATCATCAAATATGCAAATTAATGCCAAACTTATGGCCTTTTCAATGAGCATACTGTTAGATTTGTGGTGTTTTGTCGGTATTTTGTGTGTTCACTTGTATTCTCATTTTCAAATAGAATAATTTATCATGTCTATATATAGTAAAACGTAAATTATTAATTATTACTTCAATTTTCATCTTTTTTGCGTGCAATCAATGTCGACCAGCCTCCGAAATTTTATGTAGAGAATTGATCAGTTACAATGTCCCGGTACCGACTTCAGTTCGGGCGCTGATTAGCTCCGAAAACGAAACAGTATATAAGTGTCTTTTAAAATTTATTAAGAGTTCAAAAGTAGCATTGTAGACCACCAAATACACGTACAGTCCCCTAAACACGAAAATCAATCAACAATATCCATCCGAGGTCTCTTCTAACACCGTTGAACTGAATCGCTGAGACCCCGATTCGAAAGTTGTTAATTAGTGTAGTCGTCCATTTTTCACAACCACCCCATAGTAACTTAGGCCAGTGTAAAGAAATCTCAAATTAATAAAAAAAGTTGCTGACGAAATTGTGCAAGACGCGCAAGCCAAGTGAAGTGTGGAGAGGAAAAGAAGAAAAAGTACTTCATTTTTTTGATGATTACAATACAATGTAGCTTTTAATGATTATTATATTATTAAACAAATATGTATTATTTGTTATCACTGTTACGTAATGATAATTAATATTTATCATTATATTTTTAATACATCTACGCTAATTGTATTAATATTAAATTATAGATAAAACTATAGTGTTTCCATATTAACCACTAAATATGGAATACATGTCTTGAATATTAGACTTGTTGCTGTACATTGGACAAACATAATATTTATTAAAAAATAGATGTTTTATCTAAAGCAAATTTCTTGCATTTATTATGTAATCAGAAGAAAGTGATTAATTGTTGAAAGTATAATATAAATTCCATTTTCTATAAATTAATTTTAGTAAAGATTATTTATTTAGTTCAATTATGGAATCTAAAATAATATAAAGCATTAAGTAAATATAAATGTTACAAGTAAATACTCAGTTAGAATTTGTGTAATTCCAATCTTGTTTTATCATATCTGATCCTTTTTCTCCGATCATAAGAGCAACGGAATGCGGATGTCCTTTGATAATTTCTGGTATAATAGAAGCATCAATGACACGAAGATTGTTAACACCATGCACCATCAATCTATCATCAACTACACTACTTTCATCATCTATCGGTCCCATTTTACAAGTACCACAGAAATGGTTAATTGATATACTTAAACTTCGAACAATACATTCTACATATGCATCTGACATGATATCAAAATGACATTTACCTAAAGAAACATCATGCAATTTAGCACCAATCGCTTTAAACGCTTTTTGTTGCGAAATATCATAAGCCAATTTCACTCCTTCTTTTAATATATTAACATCTTCAGGATCACTTAAATAATTGGGATAAACAAGAGGTTCATCATTTGAAGCTAATTTTATGACACCTCTACTCTTTGGTGAGAGCAACAATACGAGTATACTGAAACCATAAATATCATTAGTGATATTCAACAGACTCTTGCTCATTGCAGAATTTGTGAAATACAATAATTCAACATCAGGAATTCCACGTGGATTGAATGGATCTTTCAGATCGTGAAAACTAATTAACTCAACTCCTCCTGGAATCGACTGAAAGTTCTTCTCCGGTTGCTTTGTATAAGTTAAATCGATTTTTAAATTTGATGGAATCGTGTATGGTTTTTCTATGGTATACAATAGGTTTATTCCTATATGATCCATGAGGTTTTCGCCTACAGGTAAATTCTTAATTAAAGGAATTTTGAGATTTTTTAATTGTTTTTTAGGTCCTATCCCAGATAACATCAACATTTGTGGTGATCTTATAGCTCCTGCTGAAAGAATTACTTCTTTTTCAGCTAAAACTGATCTTGATTTACCTTTGGAAACAAATTCTACTCCGTACGCTCGTTTCGTTTTAGGATTTATTAAGATTCTCTTAACAATTGATAACTTGATGATGTGTAAATTACTTCTTCTAAATGAGTTTATGTAAGCGGTATTGGAGCTATGCCTAAATCCATTCTTTAAGTTGCTTTGTATTCGACTAATCCCAATTTGGTATTTTCCGTTGTAATCAACGTAATTCAATCCAAATTCTTTGTAAGCTTTGATGGTAACATTGACAAATTTAGTTGCAAAATCTGGGTAACCCACGTGCATGAAACCATTAAAACCATGATATTTCGATTCTTTCAAAGTGTTAATGGTGAAATTCTCAATTTTCTTGAAATATGGCAAGACGTGTTCATATGACCATCCGACGTTTCCGCAATCCTCCCAACGGTCGTAATCCTTGTGATTACCTCGAGTGTAAATCATGTAATTAATTGTGCTCGAACCGCCCATGACTTTACCACTTATTGTCTGGCACTCACGACCATCCGAGTTGGAGCAACGGTTTTCGTTCAGGAGGTTTCTGTAATTCCAATTGGCGCTGGTGTATTGCAAGAGATTAGCCGGAAAAGGGATGTCGAACAGAGGATTTTCATCGTTACCTAAAAAGGAAATATGTTATGAATTGGATTAACTAGTTTTATTCTAATTACCAGCTTCGATTAGTAAAATGGACCAATTTGGATTCTCTGAAAGACGATTTGCGACGACGCAGCCTGAAGTTCCTGCTCCGATGATTATGAAATCGTATTTTGGTAATAATTGAGGGTTTTCAGGTGCAATTTTTAGTTGTTCTTCGATTGCAGCAATGAATTGATCATCGTTAATTAGAGTTTCTTTAGTAGATACGATGAATATAGATAAAATTAGTTTAAGCCATAAAATCTGAAAAAAAAATATTTCAGTATTAGTTTTGGTTAGAGGTGAGTTCAAACTTAAACAAAGTATTTAGTCCACACAGAAAAATATTGCTACATGTAAAGGATTAGTTTTGAGTACACTATATGTGACTTATATGAAGTATTTAGATCATTTTGTATTTGTATAGATACAGAAAACTTCACGAGTTATGGGAAGTATTTACTTTGTATATGTATATATATATATATAAATTATAGACGAGCTACATACAAAACTAATTGTTTGGTGGAAGTCAAAGGATTAGTTTTACTTAAAGATGAGTACGCAGTATGCGACTTATATGAAGTATTTATACTAGTTTTGTATAGATATAGATTATAGACATGTCACACGGAAAACTACTTGTACTTGTGCAAGTCAACGTATTAGTTTTGGCTGTAGGTGTGATTCCACTATGCGACGAGTATGAATTATTTACTTGTACTTGTGCAACTCAAAATATTATTTTTGACTAAAGATGACAAGCCATGCATTATTCAGTCCAGTTTTGTATTTGTATAAACATAAATGATAAACGTACAACATAAAGATTACTTGTACTTGAGTATGTGTATGTGAAAGTTATAGTTTTTACTAAACTGCGTCTTTCACGAAGTATTTAGTCCACTTTAGAGTTTGTATAAATATAAATCATAAAATTACAACACAAAAAAAATACTTGTACTTGTGTAACTCAAAGTAATGTCTTGGCTAAAGGTAGGTAGATAGTATTAGTTGTTTACGATATATTTAGCCAAGTTTCGTTTTCATATAGGTATAGAAGATGAAAATAAAATTCAAGAAATTAATGTACTTATATCAGTTAAATGAGACAATCACTAATTACTTGTATAATTATTAGTTGTAAGTAAAGTTGCCTACGCTCTAAGCGTTACTTTGTAAGTAACAAGTCTAATATTGCAGTGTATAATTAAGAAAATTACTTGGACTTATGTAATAATTACTTGGGTTATTAACTAAATCTACCTACAAACTATGCTTTACTCTAGAAGTAACAAGTCCAATATCTAAAAGGAATTGGTGCCTCCTCTTGTTTACAAACATTTTTCATATGAAATTAGGAGCCGACTACCAAAAATTATCAATTATGATTTTCACCCGCAATTATAATTGTAGTCAATATTTCGCGCATTCACAGGGTGACTTTAGAAACCACTGATCTATAGTTTACTATTAAGAAAACTACTTGTACTTATGCAAGTCAAATAATGTAAGTACTATAATTAATCGCAAACTTTACTTAACAAGTATGTTAATATAAATACGTACCATTTTCTTTGAAAATCCTTAACTTTACACTAATAATTAAAGAAATTAAATAAACTACACCAAGACTTAAGTAATAATGCACGATAATGTTTGAAGTTAACTTATATAAATGTATATCGTGAAAACAATGCAAAATTTAATAAATTCATACATAAATGACTAATTTCAGATATTTTCCTTTATTCTATAATAAATATTCATTTAAATTTCTTATCACATCCAATTTTCACAAGCAAAACAAAATGTTATGACAATGTCCGACACCTTTTCTTTATATATATATATTTTTGTCTGTTTTCCTTTATATTATTGACCTTAGTAATTATAAGAAAAAATCCTTCAACTTTTTAAATTATACTGTTTTTTTTTTTAATTAAATTTTCTAATAGTTTATTAAAAAAAAATGTGGATTTAAACATTGATGATTTTTAATTTTATTAAATAAGAATTGAATTGAAATAAAATTCGATCAATTTAAAAATGAAGCAAATATACGGTTTTAATTGATCGCTGCAAATAAATTATTCACGGTGCGTAAAGGTCTCTGATGGATTAACAGTGTCACCGTTAACTGGTTATTCCAGCTGAATCATTCATCACACAATTAAATCGTCGCAGTTGCGAATGGAACTAATGATGCGACAAAAAATTATTTTACCATAAATAAATAGAAAAAATTGGTAACGTTCTTGGCTGTTGCGTAAAAAAATTGCATAGGATTTATGATGAGGGGAACATTTCGTTGCTGTTTATTTTGGGAAATGAATCTGTATCGATTCTTGTAGGCGCGACCACGTGCAGAAACCTACTAACAGATTGGCAAAACTTTCTTGATTTGCGAAGCCAGAAAAAAAAAGAGGAAATGGAGAGGAAGAAACGGTGTATTACGAGCAGAACCCGTATCCAAATAACGAAGATTAAAGAGAACGCAGAGAAAGAGGAGAGAGTTTCAATTTGAAAATAAGCTGCAACAGATTTATATCACTTTTGTTGGGATACGTAAAGACCTTCTTGTCGTTTCGGATAAAAAAAAGAAGAGGAAAGGTAAGAGCTTTGTAATTGTAGCGAAGTTCGAATGGTGTATGTCGGTAAATGTGCACAATTACTTGTCAATGTACAATAACAGAGTTATTATATATATTTATATATATTTACATACATACATTTATATTAGTTTATCGATTCAACATTTACAATTAAAGATATGTAATAGTAATTTAAAAGTATTTATATGTGTATATCTCATAGTAAATGTGTTAATTCGTAATTAAAATAACCGCGTTATAGGAAACTCAGAATTAGATAATGTACCGCGTAATATGTTAACTGTAACAGTGTTATAATTCTAATTCTTTGACCAAATCAAAGGTTTGAAGGTTCAAATTGAAGTTATCAACCTTTTTTTCTTATTATAGTCATAATACCATCAATTACTTTTCTAATCTAAACTTTATATTCTCTTTCCGAAATAGTTTTTAAGCTAATTATGTTGTATATAGAAATAATGTTATAACCGCGTTATTAGAGGTATTTTGCAATTATTGTTCCGTATTTCTTGAAATCCGTATTATGATTGTACCGGGTTGTAGGAGGGTTTACAGTAAATATTTTTACAAATGAACTAGTAAAAAAAAGTATTATAACTTTTGTTGTGATAAGTACATACGTTATTGTTCTTTGGACAAAAGCCAAAGGTAGGTGAAGCTAGAATAAGTGTATTAGCATGTTCGTGTTTAACGTATTTCGATGTTATATTCAACACAGTAAATGTATTAATTTGGTAGTCACTGTATAGTCATGTAATAGATTCGTAAGCAATGGAATTTCAATTGTGTAAATTTGGCAAATGTATACATTCACTAGTCAATGTATGTGTGTGTATATCTAATTCATGACCAACGAAATTTCAATTGTGTTAATTTGGTAAATATATACATTATCTAGGCAATGTTTGCGTATGTATCTAATTCGTAAATAATTAAATTTTATGTGTCAATTTGGTAAATGTACGAATTTGTTACTCAATGAATGTGCATAAAATTGATTTGTAATCTATGAAATTCTAAACATATTAATGTAGTAAATGTATGCAAATGCGTTAAGTGTCAGTGCATGTATTTAATTCATAAGCAATAATATTTTAAACTTATTAATTTGGTAAATGTATACATTTGCTAGTAAAAATGTATATGAATGCAGTATATTCGTACGCAATGAAATTGTATACTTATTACTTTGGTAAATGTATACATTTGCTAGCATAAAAATATATGAATGCATTAAATTAGTAAGCAATAAAATTGTTAACTTATTAATTTGGTAAATGTATACATTTGCTAGTAAAAATGTATATGAATGCATTAAATTCGTAAGCAATGAAACTGTAAACTTATTAATTTGGTAAATGTATACATTTACTAGTAAAAATGTATATGAATGCATTAAATTCGTAAGCAATGAAATTGTAAACTTCTTAATGTAGCAAATGTATACATTTGCTACTATAAATGTTTATTTACGACCAAAGGTCTATCGACCTAAATCATATAAAATTAATTAAGCTAAAATTAATACAATTACTATATAAGTCAGTTGATTATTTTTTTTATTGAAACAATGAGATGTTTATTTTTTGTTTGTAGTATGTACATTTACTGTGAGAGTGTTTGGATGGAAATGCAATATGCTCTTGCTGTTTTCACTTGAGCTTGTATATGAGAGCACATGTGGACATAGTGGTGCCCATTAGAAGCTCGGCTCGTTTAAATGTTCCTTCTTTTTTTTTCTTCTGTTCGTTTTGTTCATACAAAAATAAATATATTACGAAATGAACTTATCAGAATATCTATTTTATATTATGAAAAAAATATTTACAACACTTTTCGAAATTGTAGTTCTTTCATATAAAATTACATAGAAATAATGTCAAAAAAATATTTTGTAAATATTATTTTAATATTTTTTAACAACATTTTTTTTAGCAATTTAATTAATTGATATGTTTATATATTAAAAAATGATTTTTTTCTAATTAATTCTTATTAATTGAATTATAACAAAATTTTATATAATAATACAATATTATATTACAGCGTTTCTCAACCTATGGGTTCCAACTTAAAAATGACAGCTGTCACCATATGTTAAAGCGAGAATTTGGTGAAATACTTTTAGCAATATTTTAAATTATGGACTGACATTTGTCACCTTGTGTCTAATCTAAGAACTAATGAAATACTTTTCGCAATTTCCTCTTAATACAACTACAAATATGTTGGATGACAGCTGTCACCTTGTGTCAAATCGAGGAGCATTTCATCTGCTTTCATAGCAATTAGGTCGTAGAACATCTATAAACAAATAGCGTTAAATCGCGAAGTCACATTTGTGACCTTGTGTCAAATCCATGAACTAATGAAATGCTGTGTCGCGAAATGACAACTGTCACCTTATATCAAAGCGAGAATATTTTGTTTATTCATTTTTTTATTACATTTTTGGTTTGTTTCTGCTAATAAGTTAAGTCCTTTCAAAGTGATATCTTATATCTTGTTCAAAAAAAATTAATTAATTAATTAATTAATTAATTTGTGCTTATAAAAAATTGAAGAAAAATGTGAAAATAAATTTCATTTTAAACATAATACTAAGAAATGTTATCAAAGTTTATACAAAGTTATAACAATTATTTGAAAGTTGATAGAAATAATTGTTATAACTTTGTATAAACTTTGAATAGCGGCGAGTATTTTCATTTAATTTAAATGTGTAAATATATACAAATGTGGTAGTTAAAGTTACAGTTAAATTTGATCACGCTTGGTCTAGGACACACTCATTTGTATCTAATTGTTGTTGTTGAGATTGGAACTTGGCCCATTCCCATTAGTACTGTGATTAAACCCTGACTATAAACCGCGACGCGATTACCGAAAAGAGTGTTTGCTTTACCAGCTTTTATCTATAATTGGGGTGTATTTCTTGCAGATTATCGCAAATATTGTGTGAATGATAAGAGACATTTTGCATGTTTAGTGAAACACATTTAGTCAGAATCTGTACCGTTTACGAGCATGTTGTCCCTCTGTCTAGGATAGAAAATATGTATTTGTGATACATATTTTTTTTTAAACATAAGAAATTATGATATAAATTATTGATACAAATATTTTTAATAAGTGATACAAAATTATTTACGAACTAATATAAAATAGATCAAAAGTGGTTGGATTATTCAAATAGTGATTTTTCTTTGAATATTTTAACAAGAAAATTGTTATTTTTTTTGTAGTTTTATTTAAAATTTAAGGAAAAAATACATGATCCAAATATGTTTACCAGGTGAGTTAGAAAAAAACAAATCAAATTAACTCAAAATTATCAATTAAAATTTGTAAATTAATAAAAAAAATATAATCCTATTATGTTTGGAATTATTTGTTTTGTTATATAATTATAGTAAAATATTGTTAGATTTTTTGTTTAGTAATTCTTAATTCAATTTCAAAATCCAATTTTTGAAATATTTCAGAAAATTAATAAGAAAAATGTTAGTAATTAATTACAATTTGAATTGTTAAATTAAATTTACATTACATTACATTTTATTGTTGTTATTTCATTTTTTTTATTAATTGTTAATTATCATTGAAAATATTATGAAATATTTATGTAAAGTAACGATTATTTGAAAAGAAAATAATTTTCCATATGTTTGTTATCAATTTGTTAGTATTTTTGTTATCTATTATTATATTTATAATATAAACAAAGAAAACATACGTTATACATGCATTGGTAACACGTTCATATAATATCAGTAATATTGTAACAACACATGATATCATATCGCAGGAAATATTTATTCTTATGATTTATAATATTATATAACTTTATTATTAGAACGTACTAATTTAGCGAGAAAATAAATTTTACACAGTACTAACAAAAAGGTCATTGATCTGTGTAATTTTGAGTATTTTTGTCTAATAAAACATAATTTATTCTTTATAAAGGATATTAATATGTTTATATTCATACGCATTTTACTTTTATATAAGTAAAACTAAATAATTCATTGAATAATTATAATAATAATCTTTATTAGTCACAATTGTAGTCAATGGGCTATCGACCTAAGTATTTCCGCCCAGAGACAAATTCATTGATATGTTGAGAATTTCTAAAAATTTAGAGTGAACATGCTGAAAATTTTACAAAACTTAGTATGTATATATTTAAATTAATATAACAATGAAGATAACAAAATTTAACAAAATATTCTTGACTTTGTCATTTTCAGGCTTTTTTATATGAAAAACAAAATAATTCATTGATTTGTTGAGAATTTCTAAATTCACTAAACTAAGTATGTAAATTAATATAACAATAAACATGACAAAATTTAACATAATATTCTTGACTCTGTCATTGATTTGTATACTTTTCTGTTATTTGTTAGTCATTTTCAGTTTTTTTATATGAAAAACAAAATAATTAATTGATTTGTTGAGAATTTCTAAAATTTCATAGTAAAAATCCTAAAAATTTCACTAAACTAAGTATGTAAATTAATATAACAATAAACATGATAAAATTTAACATAATATTCTTGACTCTGTCATTGATTTGTATACTTTTCAGTTATTTTTGAGTCATTTTCAGTCTTTTTTACTAATAAAATTTAAAAATGATACTAATATGTTTATATCCATACGCATTTTACATTTCTATAAGAAAATTTCAAGAATTTAAATATGTATGTGTGTAAATTAATATACAAATGTACTTAACAAAAATTAAGAAAATATTCTTGACTTTTTCATTGATTTGTATATTTTTCAGTTATTTTTGATATTTCTTGTAATAATATAAATCACATAAGACAAATATATTTTGATATTAATCTCTAAATTTGTTACATTGTTTATAGAAATGTATTTTTTAGTTTTAATTAATTACATAAATTAATTAAAAGTTGTATTTTCTGCAAAATCGCGTAAATATAATAAATTCTATAGAATTTCGATTTAAAATTTAACAAACATTTGAATTTCTTCTGTAAACTAAAAATCTAAAATATTTTATTTACTTGAGTTTTATATAAATTATTTATTACATAAAATTAAACAAAATTGTTATATATGCAATGATATTGTTACACGACGGTGCTTCGTGTTAGGAAAGTTAAAATAATATACAATATCTTCAAAGCCGGCTGGGCGAATTATGGAAGCATAGTTGCACCGTGGAGCGTAGTAAATTTTGAAGTTTTACACTCAGAAATATAATGAATTATCAATGAAATTGTTGTATAACAATACGTAAATGTGTAAATGCATTAGTTAATGAATGAGTCATCGCTTTAAAAATGCATTAGGTGACCGCTACGTAAATAAACATGACGGACGGTCGGAAAACCGCACCGGTTGAATGCCAGACTTCCCGTTGAAAAGTATCTAAATAATGAACAACATTTAATTGGACTTTCGGTTTACTTTATATAATTTAATTATCACTAGCCAAAAACGTGTTATTTAAAATTAATTTACAACTTTCATTTATTTGTTTGAGTATTCATGAATGAAACCACTAATGAATTATAAAGAATATGCAACACTTAATATAAAATAAATACAAACAATTTGATTATTTTTTATATTTTAGTTAATTATATGGACTTTTTGTAATTAATTTTTCATTTTATATTTAGGAAAATAATAATTGTAAAGTATTTTTATATCATTTATATCAAATTTATGTTTATAAAGGTGCGTCCACACTACGTCGGATAAGTGAAGTCGCGCATGACTAGTATATATATTTGAATGCAATGCGCGCACATCTTTCTATGTTTTAATAAAAGTGTTCAAGTTCTTTAAATTCTTGACAATATTTTAGGTTTTTAGTTATAATTTAAAGCAAATAAATTAATGATTAACCTGGAAACTATACATAACTATTAAGTAAATTAACACTGATGTAAATTAAAGTGCAGATGAAATTGAGAAAATAAGGCTCAGACTGTTAGAAAAGTTAGTGTATGTTGCAGCAAGGAAATCCACAGGTTTTCTCTATTACTATTGATTATGCAGCCACTCTCCCTCAGCTCTATTCTAGCTATACATTATTTGTTCGAGAATAGATAATCCACTTCCATCTTCATGCATTATCTTTCTAGCCATCTTTTATTAAATTCCATGAACCGAGTATCTTTGAAAATTTCGGGATAACAACGCAAGATAATTACATAATTCAACAAGAATCGTAAACTGAATCATCTCTCGAATCAATATTTTGATTTTGAATGTAAGTGAAAATTAATGATTTTTTCATCATTTTTACGACATGTTGATTTGCCATTTTGCTCGAAAAATAATATACTTTCTTTTCTTATTTTATTGCATAATTAGTTGCGGCTAAGCGTTGCGCAACTTGTTATATAATAAACGTTATGGACTGAATAGCTTTCAGTTTTTTAAATTAATTATTCGAATTTCATCTGTTATAACCAGTCAACTCGTTATGTAAGATACGTGTATCCGACTAGTTTTCAGCTTTCAACTTTCAACTTTTCCTGCAGTTTATTATTGAATAAGAAGGGCTCTATCATTACGCAGCTTACTATGTAAGAAAAGTTCATTGTGTAACCCAGAAAATGCGATGTTCGACGTCTTCAATTTTTATTCAATTTCTAAAGTATTGAGTGAGCTATTTATGTTAGACGATCGGATACTTAGATCAGAGTTTCCTAAAGTTTTCCTGCAACGGAACATTTTCTAAATCCTAAAATTTTCACGGAACACCTTGTTTATTTTATGGGGTAGCCAACACATAATCAATAAAACATTTATTAATTATTTCATTCCAGTTTCCAGCTTTCCAATGAGTGTACTGGCAGATTTCTGTTGTCAGGGGTTTGTCTGCTATGAGCTGTCAAAACCATCGTTGCTGTCAAGAAACAACTTCACGTTTTCAATCATTTCAGGATAATAATGCAAGATACTTACATAATTCAATAAGAATCGTAAACTAGAGACCATCACCTTTCGAATGAGCCTGCTGAAAGAATTGTAGCAATGTAGCAATTTTAAAAATTCCAGAATACAACTATTTTTTATACTATTTCAACCCATTTCTATAATGTTATTAAGATCCTGGTAGTAAGTAATGCTCACTTCAATAATTATGAATTAATTTTTATTTACTTCCAATAAATTTCATTAAATTTTAGAAGTTCCTTATTTTTTTTAATAAAATATAAATACGAATGATTCGATTATAAAGGTTACAATACAGTACAAATTTCCATGCTTTCAGTCATTTAAATAATTTAGAACAATGTCTGATA